TGGGATGCCAAGAGTGGATGTCCAGGGTCGGGGGATGGGGGACTGCTGGTTCTTGGGATGCCAAGAGTGGATGTCCAGGGTCGGGGGATGGGGGACTGCTGGTTCTTGGGATGCCAAGAGTGGATGTTAGCCTTGGGTCTGACATGGCAGTAAGGATTTAGCCAAGTTTGCTCTACTTGCAAGCCTCAGTTTCCCCAGGGAAACGACAGATAAGGGTCTGCTCTTCTATAATTATTTCCTATGGAGCAGGCTTCCTGTGAGGGAGACAGGTCTGCCTGAACCTGGCAGGTACCACAAAAACAAAAACATATATGGGGTACTTTTCTTTTCTTGCTTTTTTTTTTTTTTTTTTTTGGCTGGGGATAGGGAAGGGGATTCAAACAGAGTCTCACTAGGTAGCTCAAGCTGGCCTTGAACTCCTGATCCTCTTACCTCCACTTCCTAGGTGCTGGGATTCCAGATGTGCATCACCTGGCTCAGCTCACAGGATGCATTTCTATAACCCCATCACTAGAACATTCCAGATCCAGATCCTGACAGGGGACCACACCAAAGTCCCAGCACCACTGATAGGAAACCTCCCACCCCTAAGCAGGGACTCACACCTATTACCCTAAGTGTGTATGCTGGTATGTGGCTTCCCACTTGCACATCTGCTCTTTCTCCAACACTGTGTCACAAGGAACTGATACCAGGAACTTTGCCATGGCCAGGTAGTGCCACCATACCTCCAAGGACACACTGACTTTTTTTTTTTTTTTTTTTTAAGTTTTTCAAGATAGGGTTTCTCTGTGTAGTTTTGGTACCTGTCCTGGATCTCACTCTGTAGACCAGGCTGGCCTTGAACTCACAGAGATCCACCTGCCTCTGCCTCCCGAGTGCTGGGATTAAAGGCGTGCACCACTGCCGCCCGGTGACTTACTGACTTCTAATCCAAATCTTACACAGGAGAAAAACTCATTTATAAAACAAAACAACACACTCCTGAGCTGTGGAAGAGTATCAGCTCTTAGCCCATTGCCTCCTAAGATTTGTCTCTTCGTTTGGGGTGGGGGTGGATTGCTGCTCTCCCCCTGAATCAACACTGTCCCTTTCTCCTTGAGTGGAACATGTCCCTCTCGGCTCAGTCTCCTTGCTGTTGCTTCCACTGCAGCCACAGGATGGTTTCCCATGGGAAGCAGGGCCTCCAAACCCTTCTCCCCAGCTCCTCCTGCCTGGCCCCCACCTTCAGGGTGCTGGGAAGTTACCCAGGGAGCCAGAGAGCCAGGGCAACTAGGACCAGGCTTTGTGGAGACAAGAAGCCAGCATCAGACCCAGCCCTGTTGTCCTGACGGTGGCTCATGTCCCAGGCACCCTAGGCACCCACAGGGGCAATTAGTGAGTGTGGGAGAGGGTTTCCATGGTGGCAGTCCCAAGGGGTACACCAGGGCTTAGGGAAGAACAAGGGCTGGCGGGACCTTTCTCCTTTGTCCCAAGCACACTAGGGCTTTGTTCTTGCCTGGCTCTCTTTGACAGATGGGACCAGGAGCATGGCTGGGGAGGCCAATATGGCTTAGAGTCCCCCACCCAAGGGAGGCCTGAGCCATGTGGGGGGGTGGGCAAAGAGAGGCTGGAGTCCCCCTCTGGGGCCCAGCTGTCATTGGGGACCTTCCTCTCCTGGAGAAGCCTGACCTGTACCCTGGAGGCTGCTGTACACTGGCTCAGCATTGGCTCCTTTCCCCGTAAACACCTTACCCAGCAGCCAATGGGCAGCCTTGGTGTGTCGCCATGTGGGACTATGACAGGAAGGGGGAATGTGGGCAGAAGGAAACATGGCAGTGAGTCCAGAGTGAAGAGGAATATTTGATCCAGCTCTATCCAAGTATCTTCTCAGTCAGGCTTTATTTCAGGATCCCCAACAAGAAGCCCATGGGGGTACTGTATCCCAGCCAGACACTTCACCCCCACACTCCTTCAGTGCTGGCTTTGAGGCTGGAAATGGCAGGCACCAGATAGCTGCCCCCAAGCTCCACTCAGTGGCCTTCCTTTATCTTTGTGCCTGACACAGTCCTCAAAGTGGGGAGATACTCCCCTCCTCCAGGTGGCCCTTGCTGGGATCAGCGAGCCACACAGCTCAGAAGTGAAGTGCAATGCACATTTCTGGGGCTGGCATGGCTGCTCAGACGATTGAGATATGGTGGCACGAAGTGCACTGTACACTCAGAAGCGGGTGTCCAGGAAAGAGGCGGAGCCTCGGTGGGATCTGGAGGGACCCTCAATAGGGGGTCCCCGGGCCCTTGTCAGGAGCCCATGGAAAGTCTTGCCACGGGTCTGTGGCTTGCGCCGTGGTGGCCTGGGCTCCTCTGGGGGCTGCACCACTATTCGGGGTATCTCAGGTTTGGTGCTTCCTCGAACCCCTGCCAGCTGCTGGGACTCAAAGATGGCCTGGGCCCCAGGAAGGCGGGCCTGTGGCAGAGGTGCTGGCCCAGGCGATGACTTGGGCAGCTGGGCCAGCTGGATCCTGATTTCCCGTTGCAGATCTCGCTCAGACAGGGCTACACTGTGTACCTGTGAGGAACGGTTGATGCTGACTTTGCCTGGACTGGGGTGGCAGGGAGCAGGAAGCCTTGAGGTCCCCATGGGGCAGGCAGTACACCACCCCAGGAAGTGGCTGAGGGCTGAGACACAGCTTCGCTGAGACCCAAAGAAAGACACTGAGGCCTGGGGTTCTCACATTTGCTGCAGCTCAGAGCACAGGAACTGCACCTTACTCTGCCCTGGGCTCAGTCTTCCCAGCCCGGCAGCATGGGCAAGGCCCGTGAGGATGACTGGCTGAGGGAGATACCCACCTGGGACATGAAGGCCTCTTCCTGCAGCTGGGTGGTGGGGATGGCTCGAAGGGCCCCCAGTGTCTCCAAGAGCCCTGGGCATGCCGTGCGCTGCTCCACAGTGCCCAGTGCCAGCCGCATCAATGTCAGCCCCACGCGGAAGAGGACCTTGGCACCTGCAGGGAAGGGAGCTGCTCACCCCCAGGAAAGCAGTCTGCCCCCCTCGGTTCTTCAGCTGAATCAGCCCTCAGACATGCACCTTCTAACTCATGCAGCTTACTTCACCCAGCTCAGGCCAGGAAAACGGCCAGAGGCTGCAGCTGGTTCCTTTGCTGAGATGGGGTCTCGTGGAACCAGGCCTCTGTGTGTGGGGGTCTCTGGAACCAGGCCTCTGTGTCTGCCTGTGTAGCTGAGATGACCTTGACCTCCTGAACCTTCCGCCTCTTCCTCTAGAGAGCTGGATTACAGGTTCATGACACAAGTGCTAATTTTTTGGTCTTGTTTTTTGAGATAGTCTTACTTTGTAGCTCTGGCTGGCTGGAACTTACTATGTAGCCAAGGTTGGCCTCCTCCTCACAGTGATCCATAGCCTCTGCTTTCTAAATGCTCAGATATGTGCTACCATGCTCGATTAGTTTTGTTTTGGTAAGACAGGGTTTCACTGTGTAGCTCAGGCTGGCCTGGAATTCATTATGCAGCCCAGAGTGGCCTTGAGTTTGCAGCAATTCTCCTGCCTCAGCCTCCTGAATACTGGAATTACAGGTGTGTGCCACCACACCTGGCTATCTGTGTGTGTGTGTGTGTGTGTGTGTGTGTGTGTGTGTGTGTGTACTGTGTGACTGCCACATCACATGTGTGAAAGTCAAAGAACCCCTTGTAGAAGTCAGTTCTTATCAGGCAGTGGTAGCATACAATAATCCCAGCATTCTGTAGTCAGATCTCTGTGAATTCAAGATCAGCATGATCTACAAAGTGAATTCCAGGACAGCAAGGGTTACTCAGAGAAACCCTGTCTTGAAAAAGAAGTCAATTCTTTTCTTCTAGAGTGTGAGACCTGGAGATGAAACTCAACTCATCAGGCTTGGTGGCAGGCACCCTTCCCCAGAGAGCCATCTCAGCTCACACAGCTGGCTTTTCATTTTCTTGAGATCAAGTCTCACTCTGTAGGCCATGATGGCCTGGAACTATGTGACCCAGCCTCACCTTGAACTCACAGCAATCCTTCTGCCTAGGTCTCTGAGCTGGGATTCTAAGTGTGAATTATGATGCCTAGAAGGAAGACTACAATTTGAGGGCACAGGACCCTGCAGGGGGGCAAGCCAGTCTCAGGACACTAGACACTTCAGGCAGGGCAGCCAGCCAGGAGCCAGGGGCTGCTAACAAGCTTATGCCAAGCCTTTTCAGAGTCTCGGTACCCTATCTCCTCAAGGAGCAGCTGGGCTGGTGCCCATTAAGGACTTTTCATCTTGAATCTGCCACCTTCTGATTCGAGGAGGGTTCTGGGCAGAACTTCATTTCTTCCTAAACCAAGAACATAGCACTGGTGTACACACACACACACACACACACACACACACACACACACACACTGACCAGTCCTAGGGCCTCACGACCCCTTTCTGCACCCTCTGAACCACTCCGAGCAGATAGGATGCCCGGGGGACCTAGTGACAGCTGTTACTTATAAAGGAACCGTTGCTACCGACAATGTCATCACTGCTATTAAAGGGACCCGTGCAGTGCCTGTCCCCATGTACAGGGGACAGGGGTCAGCTGAAGCACCATGATCAGCCTGCTCCTTAAGGTCAGAGGCTAGAGGAGAGTGACTCATGTGCTCTGGGTACCCAGGCCATGACTTTTGTTTGTTTCTTTGTCTTTTAAGATTTGGAGGTAGAGTTTCACATAACCCAAGTTGGCTTCAAACTCACTTGCCAAGGAGGATCTTGAACTTCGGATTCTCTTGCTACTGCCTCCCAAGTGCTGTGATTACGGGCGTATGCCACCATGCCTAGTTTTAGACAATGCTGGAAACTGGGCCAGGGGCGTATTAGCGTCCTAGGCAAGCACTCTACCAACCCAGCTAATGCATTACCAGCCCGAACTTGAGCCTGCCTGTAGAAGAAATCTCTAGACATATGGGGCAGCGTAAAGGCAGAGCCCTGAAGACCCAGAATCCAACTTGCCTCTGCTCCAATGCCCCTTCCACTCTTGGCCCCCAGGCTGTGACCGGATCTCCCTGCCTGTGGTGGCCTTCCTGGCTTCTAACCTCCACCTGCTTGCCTCCTTCACAGAGCAGCCAGAACCATCTTTAAAAACAGCAACCACCTCCTGCTGCTCTCCTGACACCCTGTCACATCCCTTGATTTATTTTCTTCATGGCACTTATGACATTCTATAAATATCTTCTTAATTTGGGTACTGTCACCTCGTAGCCCCACCCCCACCAAAATGAAAGTTTCATAAGCTAGCTGTCAGAGGCAGCTTGCCGGGCCACTCAGGAAGAGCCGTGGACAGACGGCCCCGAGGAGCATCTCCTACTGTTGTGAACTATCACTCAGCCTTGCACATCCTGAACCACTCACATCCCACGGCATGTGCCTCGACCAACCTGGTTCCTGCCTAACAGACCCCCCAGGCCCCCGTCCCCATCAGAGACGGACCTCTCCTTGTACTCAGCCTCCCACAGTGGTCCCTGTGATAAAGTAGAGTCTTCTTATTCATGACTCTGAGATCATGTCAGTGAGGTGGGCTACTTTCTCCACAGACACACTCAGGTCCAAAAGGGATGAGAGTGGGCGCCACAAGCACAGCAAATTCAGAGGCGTGATCTAGCCCCCCGAGTTCCCACTCACCCTCACTGAGGAAGGCATCCCAGATGCGCAGCACCGTGGGGAAGGGCAGCGAGCGGGTGAAGAGGCACAGGAACCACTCCGGCAGGTAGAGCAGGGGCCCAACGCCTGCCTGCAGCAGGTGCTTGTGCACACGGGGAAGCAGCCGCCGCAGAAGGGCCATGAACACCTCAGCGTCCAGCTGCACTGCCTCCTGCAGCCAGGCTCCGCGTCAGTCTGGCTAGCCTGTGCTACACACCTCCACTCCCAAAGCCCAGGCTTCTGATCCCCCACTCCCGACCCCCACTTCCCACTTTCATATCCCTACCCAGCTTCTCACCATGTGGGGCCCATAGTAGCCCGGGAGGTAGACCTCGCAGATCTGCACCAAGCACCAGAAGGCTTCCTGAGGGCAGGGCACAGGCCTGTGAGTCCTCATTTAGGAAGGGTCCACAGAGCGAGAGGAGAGGTAGGGAGTAGGCACAGGGGCATGGATTCATGCCACTGTCACCCTGCTCGGAGCCTGCCCTGTCCAGGGGCTGAGGGGTTCTGTATTTAAGGGCCATAAGGTCCTTTGGGGAAAATTTGGGAAGTTCTCAGAGTCTATGTCCCAGAATCCTAAGGTCACTGAGGTCCTCCTCCCCCCACCCCACCCCCTGGGGCCAAGGTCATGGTGCTCCAGACTCAGTTCAGTGTCACAAATGATAAGCCAGGGAAAGCCAGTGTGAGTGGATGCTCCTGGCAAGCCTGGGCACAGTACAGACTTCAGAATGCCAAAGGGAAGTGTTTCCAGACTCCTAGATCACTGGGGTAAAGGTCCAGGCGTAGAAGTCAAGGATGATAGACTTAAACCTTACTGAGACTGGTGGGCATGAGGCTTTGGTCACTAGAACAGGGCCTGGAAGGAAAGGACCACAGGATCCTGAGGTCTGAGTACCGGGGTTGGAGGTCGGAGGTCTAAAAGCTCAGGGTCGCTGGGGGCACAGGTGAGGAGGGATTGGGGGGTCTCAGAGCAGGGTCAAAGGTCACTCACCTCTGGGGGCAGATGCATAAGCAGTACGGCAGCTACAGGCCCCTGAGCCTGGCAATAGCCCTGTTCCGGCCGGTACAGGGTGTAGGCCTTGAGAACCTGCAGCAGCCCCTGCTGCCTGTGCCAGAAAGTCTCGTCAGGCCCAGCCTCCCAGGCCTGCACCCCTTCCCCGCCCTCCGGGACCTCCGCCCAGGCCACCGTCTCCCTCAGCCCAGGATGGAAATCTGAAGGAGGGAACCGGGCTGAAGCATCTTGCATGAGGACTTGGGGTCCCTGGGTGTTCCTGGCCCCGTACCCGTGTCCCTGGGGTGACACAAACATCTCGTGCAGAGGGAACTGGCGGTGCAGGTCCCTGCCAATGGTCTCCATCCACTGCGGGTCTCCAGGGGCCCCTGCCAACTCCTACAGGTGGTAGGAAGGTGGACGTGAGGGCTTGGGGTGGCCAGGAGCTCTGGGAAGGGGAGGCACAGAGTCTGCCAACTCCCTCACCTGATAGGTGCCAGGGTTGTTCTTCTGGCACAGCCGGGCCCCACACAGCAGGGGCCAACACCGGGCCCGCAGGGCTGAGGGGATGCCCTTGCGGCACTGTATCTTGACCTGTGGGTGAGGTCCAGTTGTCGTGTGAGGTCCGCTTCTCACAGCTTCTCACTGGCCAGGGGCCCACTGGGGTGGCAGAGGCAGGGGGACCCTCACCTTCTTGTATTGTCGAGACATGGTCTTCTCCCAGTGTGAGGTCATCTCCACCCACTTCATCTCCCGCTGGCGGATGAGGTCTGCAGGGGGGTGACCAGGCCTGGAGGCACAGGACACAGCAGTCCTTGGAACACATACCTTCCCATTCCAGGCTATCAGGGAGACCCCAGCTCCTGGCCTGGGGATCACTGAGGAGTCCTGGAAGGGGGTCTGTGGCCCAGAAGCTGCCAATGGTTGTCACAGTTAAAGGAGGGGAATTTGGCCTCAACAGGGAGAGAAGAAGGAGAGACTGAAGGGGTGAGGAGGTGTGTATTGAGGGAGGGTCTGTTTGGCTGTCACCCACAACGGAGACACAGACAATTCACAAGGGACGCTGGGTGGACAGTGCCCTGGACTGGAAGCCAGAAGTCCTGGGTTTGAATCTGCTTCTCTTTATGATCTGCTGTGTGATGTGGGGCAAGTTTCTGTCTGTCTCTGGGCCTGTTTAACTGAGTAAGGTAAACCTGAAGAAGAGAATGAAGAGGTACTGATTTCCACCTGGAGTTCTTGGGTTAGAGATTAAAAGGGGAAAGGTGGTGGAGCACGCCTTTAATCCTAGCACTGGGAGGCAGAGCCAGGCCGATCTCTGTGAGTTCGAGGCCAACCTGGTCTACAGAGCGAGATCCTGGACAGGCACTAAAACTACACAGAGAAACCCTGTCTCAAACTCCACCCCCCAAAAAAGTGGGGGAGAAATGCAGCAATAAATAAGGGAGCGTTCAGACCCTCAGATGAGAAAAGAGACATAAGGACATTGCCTCCACTACCCTCCTTACCTTAGAATTCCACCTGGGACCTGAGGAGTGTCACTGGCTGAGTTCTGGGCTAATCTCTACAGCCAGACCCCTGAAGCCGGGCCTAACTCCAGAACGCACTGCTCAGTCTCTGTACCCAATCTCCCCACCCATGCCTCACTTACCCCGGTTCTGCTGAGTTGCCCCCAATGAAGCCATAACGGTCAGCCTGGCGATACGGACTAGGCCCACTCAGCTCTGAGTCAGACCCTAGCGAGCTAGAATCATCCTGTAGTTCTGACGGCAGTGCCAGCTCTTCCCCCAGGGCCTGGGCCATTGTGCCCTGGCCCCCAGTGTCACAGGCTGCAAGACATACAGGAGTTGTCAGACTGAGGCCGGGGATTCCAGTCACCAGTCCTCGGCCACAGGGGACTAAGCCTCCTCTTTTACTGGGGTACCACGGAGGCCAAGCCGCAGGTACAGCCCCAGCCCCAGCAGACCAGCTCACCTCCTCGCTGTACCTCACCTCCTCCTCTCACTTCCTCCTCAGTCTCAGCTTCAGCAGCCTGTCGGGGGCCCCTCCCAGGTGGGGGGGGACTCCCCCCTTCCTCTATGAGGCTCTTCCTGCTTGCCCTAGTGCCCGGGCCATGATCTCCTCCCATCCACAGGATGCTGGTGTGATGAGTTCCTTGGCTTGCCAGAGATGAAGATAACGGGCCACCATCACTTTTGAGGTCACTAGCATGTGAAACCCAATTTAAGGTTCCAGTAAAAATTATGCTTTACTGTCTTGCACCCCTGCATCTTTCTTTTTGGGGAGTGAAGGGGTACTGTCTGGGAACAAGGGTCTCATGTAGCCCAGGCAGGAGATGAACTCTATATACTTGAGCATGACCTTGAACTTCTGATCCTCATCAGAAGTGCTGGGATTTCAGACACCGGAACTGCAGGTTTATGACACCATGCCTACCTTAATGCTTTACTATTTAAAACAATACCTTTTTTTTTTTCTTTTCTTCTTCTTCTTCTTTTTTTTTTTTTTGCTTCCAGAACCGGAGTTGGAACCTAAGGCCTTGCACATGCTAGGCAAGTCCGAATACTCCACAAAGTACTTACAACATGAACGCGGTGCAATACTATTACATCACTCACAGAAGAAAAAAAAAAATGACGTGGCAGGCACCAAGGCAACCTGGACCAAAATATGCTCAGAGTTCAGTAGCAGGTGTCCATGGGTTTGGCCACAAAGACGGAGGTGAATGTGCGGCCTGGTCTGGAGCCCACTCTCAATATCATAAAGCCTTAGTTTGAGAAGTCGGCGATTAACGTGCTCACACCACAATCTCACACAGGGCTGGGGTGAGAAGAGACTTTTGAGAGAGAAAAACAATTTCCACAGTACTTCCGGCCCTAACTCCTCTGACCGCGGCGGGGCGACTCCTCCGGGGTGGAGCCAACTCGACCCCGCCCCGCCAAGCCCCGCCCACCACCCCAGCTAGGCCCCGCCCGGCCGCCCGAGGCCCTCCCGGCTGCGGCGCTTGCCCGTCCAGCAGAGGCGCTGGAGAGCAGGGAACGGCGGGCGCGGCGGGGCGGGGCGGCCAGCCGAGAAGGCGGGGCGGCGGGCTGGGGGCGGGCTGGGGCGGGCGGAAGGAGAGACAGGCCGGAAGGAGGCTGCGAGAGGGCGGGAGGCAGGAGAGGGCCCGGAGCTGCTGGGCAGGAGCGGCGGCGCCGCCATGTCCGACAGCGAGAAGCTCAACCTGGACTCCATCATCGGGCGCCTGCTGGAAGGTAGGCAGGGGTAGGGGAGGTGCGCGCGTGCCAAGCCCGGGGCCCCTCGCCGTCCGGAAGTGGCGCGCGGGCGGGCCTGCGGCTCCCGGGGGCCAGCGTCGCTTGGGCGGGGACAGGCCGTGAGGTCCTGTGGCCAGAACGGCCACCTCCCCGTCCGCGCGCCTCGGCTTTGGAGCGCGCTCCGGGGCCGGGGACACACGCGCGTGGCCCGGGCTCGGGGTGGGTGAGAAGCCTGCGAAGCTAGCTGGGAAGAGGTACCGGAGCGAGGAGGCTTCGGTTGACAGGGACTTGAGAACAGGCGTCTTGTCCCCGGCCTCCTGGGTGGCTGACGGGGGGTCGGGTCTTGCCTTTGGAGGCCTGAGGCAGAGGTTTCGGGGCGGCTCCCTGGCAACAGTTGCCCGCGTTGGGGAGGCATGACACCTGTCCTCGTCCTGTCTGCGAGGCCAGCGTCCTAAGACCCCGTTCCCTACCCAGTGCAGGGCTCACGGCCTGGCAAGAATGTGCAACTAACAGAGAACGAGATCCGTGGTCTGTGCCTCAAATCCCGGGAGATTTTCCTGAGCCAGCCTATTCTTCTGGAGCTTGAGGCGCCTCTCAAGATCTGTGGTGAGCCCTTGCTCAGAACCCCTTAGCGTCCTGGAAATAACCCTCACTGCCTGGTTTTCTCCTCTCTTTAGCTCATTGCTGGCCCTGGGTTCAAGTTTAGATCTTGCACCTATCTAGTCTTCTCTGCTTCCTAGGTGACATCCATGGCCAGTACTATGACCTTCTAAGGCTGTTTGAGTATGGTGGCTTCCCTCCAGAGAGCAACTACCTCTTCTTGGGGGATTATGTGGATCGTGGCAAGCAGTCTTTGGAGACCATCTGCCTGCTGCTGGCCTATAAGATCAAATACCCTGAGAATTTCTTTCTGCTTCGTGGGAACCATGAGTGTGCCAGCATCAACCGCATCTATGGCTTCTATGATGAATGTGAGTGTTTCACATGTTGCTGGCTGCCCAGAACTACATTCCCTGTTCTTCATGGGACTCTTATATTGGTCTGGTGCCAAAAGACCCCGATGTACTGTGCCTGAGCCCTGGAAGGTCCCATCATAAGCTGTCATCCCTGACACTCAGGAGAGACTGGTGAAGGGAGGTTCCTGGGTCCTGCCCGATGACACTCCCCTCTATCACATCCCTTACTTAAGCATGTAGGGTATCTGTGAATAAACCAGACCAGCATTGGGTTTGGCCTGATTGGTGGGACCAGAGTGGGTGCCAACATCAAGGTTGGGCCAGACTGGAGTTAGAACTCGGGAAGGCAGATGAAGATAACGCAGGGCGAGAGACTTAAGCTGTCCTTGCCTTCCAATCTTTTCTCCCAGCTATGCCAGAGCAACCCACAAACTACCCTGGAGTGCACAGAACACTAGGCTGAGGGTTCGTGAGGTGGGTGGTCTTCCCCCTGAGCCATCTCCTTCTCCTGTGCAGGCAAGAGACGATACAACATCAAACTGTGGAAAACCTTCACTGACTGCTTCAACTGCCTGCCCATTGCAGCCATCGTCGATGAGAAGATCTTCTGCTGCCATGGAGGTAGGACGGGCCGTGGGGAGTTGTGACCCGAACTCTGTTTCCTGGAATAGCTCTCCTCGAATCTCATCTTGGATGTCACTCCCTATAGGAAGTCCCTCGAACCCCAGTCTGGCTACACTGTTTCCTGTTGTGCCATTTGGCATCCTGTAGGCCACTCACTCATCTCCTTCCCCATGGGGGTCTGCTCTTTGCACTTTTAAAAGCTGAGGGATGAGTTCTACCTCCTTGGAATTCCAAGAGTCAAAAGATGAACCCATTGGGGGAGGGGAGGGCACAGGAGGGGAGGGCAGGGCTGATTCCCAAGAGCTTCTGGTTTAAGGAATGGTACCCACTCCTTTCCAGGCCTGTCTCCAGACTTGCAATCCATGGAGCAGATTAGGCGTATTATGCGGCCTACAGATGTGCCTGACCAGGGCCTACTGTGTGATCTCCTGTGGTCTGACCCTGACAAGGATGTTCAAGGCTGGGGCGAGAATGACCGTGGTGTCTCCTTTACCTTTGGGGCTGAGGTGGTAGCCAAGTTCCTGCACAAGCATGATTTGGACCTCATCTGCCGGGCACATCAGGTAGGCTGGTGGCCCTGGGGGGTAGACTAGGGGGGGGGCCAGCTGGTAACTTGTGGACCATGCAGTTCCTATCCTTGCCCAGGTTGTAGAAGATGGCTATGAGTTCTTTGCCAAGAGGCAGCTGGTGACACTCTTCTCAGCTCCCAACTACTGTGGCGAGTTCGACAATGCTGGTGCCATGATGAGCGTGGATGAGACTCTGATGTGCTCCTTCCAGGTGGGTGTGGGGAAGAGGCTGTCAGACTGGCTGGCTCAGCACCCGGAGCCTGACCGGCCTTTTCCCTTTCAGATCCTCAAGCCCGCTGATAAGAACAAGGGGAAGTACGGGCAGTTCAGTGGCCTGAACCCCGGAGGCCGTCCCATCACCCCACCCCGCAACTCTGCCAAAGCCAAGAAATAGCCTCCGTGTGCTGCCCTTCTGCCCCAGATGATGGATTATCTGTACAGAATCATGCTGCCATGGGTCACTGGCCCCCCAGGCCCACCCGTCATGGGGAACACACAGCGCTAAGTGTCTTTTCCTTTCTTTTTTAATGAATCAATAGCAGCATCTACTCCCCCAGGGCTCCCTCCCACCAGCACCTGTGGTGGCTGCAAGTGGAATCCTGGGGCCAAGGCTGCAGCTCAGGGCAATGGCAGACCAGATTGTGGGTCTCCAGCCTTGCACGGCTGGCAGCCAGATCCTGGGGCAACCCATCTGGTCTCTTGAATAAAGGTCAAAGCTGGATTCTCACCATGGCCTCTGTCTCACTTGTCCCAGACAGCGGGCCAGCAGCCCTTTGGTACAAAGCCACCTGGGAGGGCAGGCTGACTGGCTGGACACGGGCCTGGCCAGGGCAAAGCCCAGTGGCACACTTGGGTCCAGAGGCTATTAGGATTCCGAGCCAAGGCCCAAGTATTGGGAAAGCCAGAGGAATCGTCCCTACCAACCACTGGGCCCAGAGGATCGACAGGGAGTCCATGATTGGCAGAGGGTAATCAGCACTGTGATTTTTTTTTTTTTTTTTAAGAGGCAGGCAAGCCTGAGGAAGGTAAGTTTCTAGCTCTAGCCAGATACCTAGGGCCTGTGGCTCTACAGTTAGAAAGAGGTGAGGAACCTGTCAGGTGGCAGCTGGGCACCAGAAAAAGACATGATTGATAGAGGGTGAGTGAAACACAGTCCAAACATGGTTGCCCAGGGCGGCTCTGCAGCAGACAGCCAAGTACAGCCCCTTTCCCATGCCCAGGGACTAAGTTCCAGCCCTGCCAGTGCCTGGTCATGCTTCTGGCCCATGGGCCTTTGGACACAGGCTTCAGTCTCTCAAGTTCAGCCTTCACCATCACTGTCTTCAGCCAGAACGGGGCTGGGACCCTGGGGGGAGTGTACAGGGGCCAGGATGGAACCAAAGAAAAGTGAACGAAACTGGAAAGAGAAGAGAAGAGAAGAGAAAAGGCCGAGTTAGTCTGGGAGCTGCTTTGCTCCTTTTCCTCACAGTTCCCACCCCAACCTCCAGCTCCTACCTTCTTGGGTGGGGGAGTCCCAGGCACTGTACTGGGCTCAGCTTCTTCCTCTTCTTCCTCCTCCTCCTCCGAGGGAGGGGCGAGGTCATGGGAGGGCTGAGAGACAGGTGGGAGGGAAGTGGAAGGCTGTGCCCGGGAGCCCTCACTGCCCACGGTGGTTTCCATGGCAATCATGTAACAGTCGATGTCATCGTTGGTAAAGTCATCTAAGGGGGGTGTGCTGTAGGCAGAGACAATGTCAGCAAGGAACAGGGGAAGAAGAGGGAGACGGAGGCAGGCCCCACTTTGGAGGGCTTGAGGCCTCAAGACTGCTGGTGAGCTTTTGATTTTATTACTTCCTGATTTGGCTGGGAGGAAAGGATGCAGGGGTTAAGTGGGAGCTTCCTGGAGGGGGTGGAACTGGAACCCCTTTGATCAGAGTTCAGGTAGGGGCCTGAGGGAGGCATCCTGGGGGCCAACTCAGCTTAGCTGGGGGAGGGAAGCAACAAGTCCTGTGAACAGGGCCACATGGGGCCCAATCCTTCACCTTCCCCAAGGATGGGAGCTGGAGAGCACCCGAGTCCAGGGACATGCTGGGCTGTGGGCCAGACCAAACTTCCTCTGCTTCCACTGCACTGAGCCCATCCTCCAGCCCACCTGCCCTTCCAGCCACCTGCTTCCCTGCACCAGGCAGCTCCCTACCTCCCGGCAGCCCTTTCCCTCCTAGCCTGGGAGGAGGCTCAGAGGGGAGGCCTCAGCCAGAGAAGGAAGCCAGCGGGACCTTGGGGATGCCTCTTTGGATGGGAGGGGTCTCAGTACAGCTGACCATGAAGGCTGGAAGCCCTGTAGAGGCTGAGGCCTGACAGGAAGGAAGTATGTACTGGGGGAGGTGCACAAGCCAGGAATGGCAGGCCCAGCCTGCGGTGTAAAGAGACAGAAGAGCTGGGTGGTGGGTGTCTCTACCTCGAAGCCTGCTTTTGAGGCACTGGCTGGCGAGGCTTTGGGGAGCACAGGTCCTGGGAACATGGGTCTTGTTCTAAGAGTGTGGCCAAGACGAAGTGGCCATCCAGCAAAGAATCCTCAATGGTAA